AATTCTTAATGGAGAAAGTGTATTGGTATGAAAGAAAATCAGTAAATAGTGCATGTACAAATACCAATGGATTAAGCCATATAAGTAAACAAAGATACAAAGATGAAAGAAAAGATTTAAGATGGTGTTGCTATTTAAAGTCTTCTAGCTCATGGTTCTCTACAAAAGGAAAGCTGAAATATTCACCAGACAGCAGGGGAAGAAGGGCCATTAGATTACAAGTGATCCATAAGAAATATCCTTAAAACCAGAAAACTAGCCTTGTATCACTTTGTAATTTTAGATGGATTCTGTCTTTCTACAGAAAGACAAATGTATGGCTGTCCCCTCCCCTGATATAGCCCATGTTCTCTGACCCCTAACTCTGCTCCCAATTTAAATAATGCCGTTAAGTCCAGCTGTACCTGAGCCAAGAGATGGCTCTTCAGTTCACAGAGCAAGCCTGGTAAGCCTAAGGCTTCCACCATACTTACAGGGAAAACTGGCCTACAGTTTGGGAACTGGTCACTTCATTTACATGTGAAAGACCTTGAGTGGTTAAGACAGCAGTCACACTTTAGGACCTGCAGATGGAATTTAGTCATACAGCTATGTTTTGGTTGGTCTCTTATGATGCTTTCAAATGTTTGTGCTAGCCAGGAACCGGTGGCTCACACCTGTAAGGCTAAGATCTGAGGATCGTGGCTTAAGTGGTAGAGCGCTCGCCTTGAGCTGAAGAGCTGAGGGACAGCACCCAGGCCCAGAGTTCAAGCCCCATAACCGACAAAAAAAAAAGTTTGTGCAAATAGTTAGAAATGAAATTTGTAGTTTCTCTTGAGTTTAGAGGAGCTGACACTGATGGATTCTGGTAGTTCTACATTTCATCAACTCATTGGAGGTAGGTAGTGGCTGCCCCTATTATATGATTTCTATATCTCACAGTCCTCATGGTTCTTCCTTTTGTCATAGACCTTTTACATTTATTCATGTCACTGCATTGCTTTTCTCAGAATTTTAGGGGCAAGGTAGAAACTTTTCCTTTGACTCCAAAAGCAGCTGCAACTGCTATCACTCAGGCAATGGTTTATTTGTAGAAGAAGCACTTGTCACTTGAATTGCTGCTTCAGGCTGGGCTCAGTGACACATGCCTGTAGCCCTAGTTATTTGGGAAGCTGAAGTAGGAGGGGATCCCTTAATCCTAGGAGTTTAAGATCAGTCTGGACAACATAGACTTTGTCTCAAAACAAAGTAAACAAAAATTTAAAATATTGCTTGACTGTGCTCCTTTCTTATTGTTAATACCCTTATATATTTTCCTTCTATAAGATAACATCCAAATTCCTTTGCCTATATTTCCATCCTCTGGTTTCAGTATCCACAGCCCAAGTAGCCTCTACATCCTATGAAATAGAATAGAATTTCTTTTCTTTATTGTTCTTCTTGCTTTTCCCCAACATTTGTGCTTTTAGCCCATAAACACCAAGTACCTTTTCAGTCCTAGCTACTGTTCTAGGTACAAAGGTGATAAGACAAAGTTTCTGTCTCTAAAATTTTTATTCTTAAAGCCTTTTAATTAAATTTATTAATTTAGATCAGCAGTGCTGAGGGTTGAGCTGTATCCTCAGATCAGGTCTTATATTTTAGTCAGGTCAATATTTTGTATTTTGAATGCATCTTCTATATGCTTCTTTGCTCACACTGTCCTATCTTTTCTCTTTCTCTCACTGATACATTTAACAAATATTTATTGGTTGCCTGCATGTCAGGCTTTGGTCACTGGGTGTAGGTGTTTTAATAAAGTCCTCCCTCACTTAGAATTTATGTTCTTGTGGGATGAACAGACAATTTATAAAACAAAGAAACAGAAGTGTGTAGAGCTATGAAAGGAAATGGAGCAGGGTAGGGGGGGATAGAAGATATGGGCTATATTTTAGGAGGAATTGTGAGAGACAGATTTCTAATACAGTATTTGAACAGAGCCCTGCAGGAACCAAGGGAGGAGGCAAGAAGGTACATGGGGAAAGATCCAGGCAGAGGACACACATATTCAAGGGACAGTGAGGCAGTGATGGCAGGGGCTTAGTGAGGGAGTGGAAGGGCAAACTGTGATTTCTGAAGGGTAGAAGGATCCAGATCCTGAAAGCAGCACAACCACTTCTCACCCCCTGGCTTGTGGTTCCAGAATAGGTTGTATCACCTCAGAACTTTCACCTCAAGTTCCTTTGTGAAGTCTGTCTCAGCCATGCCTGTTTATGGTTTCTCCTCCTAACTCCTAGAACACCAGCTGACATAATTTATCAGTTGCTCCTCTGGCTAAGGCAGTAAGTGCCTGGTTGTCTTCTCAGAGGACTTCTTTCCTAACTTCTTGTAACCTCCCCTAGCTTAGGGGCTTAGTCTCTTTCTTCTTTATCCTGTGCTTTGTGAGGCTCTGTTTTCAGATGTCAGCAGGAGGAATTTGATGTCTAGGAAAGACGTGAGAAGACTTGCTGATAGATATGAATAATGATGTTAAAGGTTTTAGTTTGTGATCCTGGAAGAATAATGGTATATGGACAGGAAAAGGGCCGCTAGGAAGAGTTGCTCATGTTAGGATAGATTGATGGCTTTGGAATTTGTTGTTTTGGAATTTGTTAAACTTGATGCTAGTAGGATTTGTATGTGAACTTGTCTATCATAACTTGGGCATGTCAGTATACACACAAGAGAGTGCCAAAGTTCTTTGTGATTGCTACCTGAAGTTAGAACAAGACAGCCTCTGAAAGCTCTTGTGCCTAAAAAAGGGACTGCAAACAGTAGCTACTTAAGTGGTTGTATTTAATAGGCTTACTAAGGTTGGCATGTAGCCATGTTGCTCATTGAAGATACAGCAGAGGCTCTGGGGTCACGTCACCCCAGTCCCATGTGTTCTCTGTGTCTTGGTTGAGCAAGTAACCTCAGTGGTCTCATCTGGAAAATGGACAAAGTAATCCTTCATGGGTACTGAGGGTTGCCTGGAATTGTGTTTTAATTATGTGGTATAGTTAGTGTTCAATCTAAATATAATTCTCCATATCAGTCAATTCTGAAAATGAACACAGAACTGTGAGATAGGTAAACAATGTGGGTACATCAATTAATATTCTAGTAGATTACATTACATATTTCCAGCTACCAACAGCTTCAAATTGGATTGGGAATTGATAGACTTGTTGGATGATAACCAATAGAATTGCACAGTATTTGTAGACTAATCTTCTATAAGATGGGATCATGCCACACAAGATAAATGGAACTCAGTGTCCACAGCATTTAAGTGTGTGTGTGTGTGTGTGTGTGTGTGTGTGTGTGTGTGTGTGGTGTATGTGTATGTGTATGCGTATGCGTGTATGTGCGCACATCCACTGGTTCCAGGACTTGAATTCAAGACTTTTGTGCTCCAGGCTGGCCTTCTACCACTAGAGCCACAGTTCCATTTCTGGATAAAAAACCCTGGCTGGCTTTGAACCTCTACCCACAGATCTTACCACCTAAGTAGCATGGATTATAGGCATGAGCTACCTACCAGTGCAAGGCCTATAGTATTATTTTTTTTTTTTTTGCCAGTCATGGGGCCTGAACTCTGGGTCTGGGCGCTGTCCCTCAGCTCTTCAGCTCAAGGCTAGTGCTCTACCACTGGAGCCACAGCGCCACTTCCGGCTTTTTCTGTTTATGTGGTGCTGAGGAATCGAACCCAGGGCCTCATGCTTGCAAGGCATGCACTCTACCGCTGAGCTACCTTCCCAGCCCTATAGTATTATTTTTATAGTATAAAATTAGCACTAACTAGACATGATGATAGGTGCCTGTAGTTCCAGCTACTTAGGAGGCTGAGATGGGAGGAGAGCTTGAGCCCACAAGTCCAAGAACAGCCTGAGCAAGGTAGCCAGCAAGCACTAAGTTTGAAGAAGCAAATAAAATTTATAGTTAAATGCATTGGGCACAAAATTCTTGATTAAAATTCTTTATCTCGTTAGATACCATAATCTTTTCTTCAAATCAGTTTGTTTTTTTTTTTGATCGTGGGTTTGAACTCTGGGCCTGGGTGCTGTTTCTGAGCTCTTCAGCTCAAGGCGAGCGCTCTACCACTTGAGCCACAGAACCACTTCCAGCCTTCTGGTGGCTAATTGGAGATGAGTCTCACGGGGACTCTGCTGCCTGGGCTGGCTTTGAACCGTGATCCTCAGATCTCAGCCTCCTGAGTAGCTAGGATTACAGGTGTGAGCCACTGGCGCGGCAAATCATATGTTTTGGTAACCTTTTTGGCCTAGAGTCTATTTCTTTCCCCCATTTCTTGCACAGATCTCCATATGTCTTTTGAGAAGGTTTCATGATGACTTTGTGGATGACTTCTGACTGTCTCCTTGGGTGTCTCTGGAATTGCAGCTTTCCTGTCTGCGGTGGAGCAGATCAGAAGTCGTGGCACTAAGACCCAGAAGCTGTGTGCTCTGTGTGGCTGGAGCCGGGCAGGCCCAGCTCGCACTGAAGGGAAGGAAGTCATTAGTGCAGACTGAGCTGTGGAGTTGGGTTCTTGCAGGATTTCCTTCCAGCCTTTCCCCACTAAGGTTCTTGGGAATTAAAAGAAAAAAATCTAAACACACAAACCAAGTTTTCCTATTTACAGTGCTCAGGGAACATAGGCATTTCGGGAAGGGCAGATCCTTTCTCCCAAGTTATCCAAGAAGGAAAGAGAAAACAGCGTAAAGAAGCTCTGATTACTGATTTTTGGAATTTCCTTTGCTAAATTTTACAAACGAGAAATCCACTCAGAATGTTGGCAGTTGCTCCAGGCAGCTCGCGAGGGTTTGACTGCCTGTCTAATCTCTTTTGAGAAGAGGAGAATTCGCCGAGCGGGGCTCGGAGGGCCGGAGCCCGGCTGGGTTTCCCTGGCCGCGTGCGCTCTGGGTCTCGGTCTCAGGCTCTGCTCTGAGAGAGGGTCTGCGGGCGGACGGACGGACAGACGGCCGACCAGCTCCGAGACCCCCAGAGGAACGGACGGACAGACAGCTCTGGGACCCTCTGCCGTGGACTCCAGGTTCCTCCTGTGGGCGCCAGCGAGGGAAAAATGCCCCGCGGCCGGAGCCCGCGGGCGGCTGCCGGGGCGTCCTAGCCCGGGCTCGGGGACGCTCCCTCTGCGCGGCCGGCGGCGGGAAGACTGGACGGCGGGCTCGCTCCCCTCCCGGGGACATGGGGAAGCCATAGGGGCGGGGAGGCGGCAGGACTGGCGGCCGCCGCTGCCCCGCGTCCGCCCCGAGCCCCCAGCCGGCGCCTTGATGCTCCTCGCCCCGGCGGCACAAATATGATGAAATGGCAGCCCCGGAAGAAGGTGAGTGTCGGTTCGGAGTCCGGCTCTCGGTGGCCCCTTGTCCCGCGTCGCCGCCCGGGTCCGGGCCCCGGGGACCGGCGGGGCCCCGTAGGGCGAGTTGCCAAGTGCGCCCCCGCCCCCGCCCGAGTTCCCTCGGGCGCGCGGACCCAGTGACAGCCCGGGCGCCGCTCGCTCGTCGGAGGCTGCGGGCTGGGGGTGCAGCCAGCTTCGCCCACAGCCAGCCCGCCGCTCCCGGGGCTCCCGGGCCGGGGGCGCGGCCGGGGCGCCCCATCTCTGGGGTCCCTGACCCACTCGGCGGCCCCGCAGGTGGGTGTCGTCGCACCTCTGTCCCCAAGGGGTTAACAGGCCCCGGCCGCCGCTTCCCCAGGGCCCCGCTGGGGGGCGAGCAGCCCCAGCGCAACCGCCCCGCTCGGGCACCGGCGCTGGGCCGGCCTCGCGCCGCGGTGCCCGGGGCCGCCCGCCCGGACCCGCCCGCGGGCTCGGCCTTTGTGCGGGGGGCGGGGGCGTCTTGCGCCAGCCAGCGCCGCGTGGGCATCAGCGTGGCCGGGGGCACTTCGCTCTTTTCCAGATTATTTCCTAATATGGCTCCTTTGTTGAGAACTCAAGGGGAAAAAAATCCAGTGGTTCTATCAAAATACACTGCCATTGGTCCCCGAATAACGTTCCTAAATGTGGGGCCGGTCCCTACCCTGGGGGTGTGTGCTGGGGGAAGGACAGCTTTCAGCAAGTTGTTGGCAGCCCTACCTTTGGCCGGGGCTGGCTTTGGCTAAGTTGTCTGACTGCTGCTAACGTTGGGGGAACCCAGTGGTTGGCTTCGCGGAGGAACTTCCCCACCCCCTCCCTGTACCTCCTCTGGCCCCGGTTTTTATTGACATTCTTCTGAAGGGAAACGGGCGGACTCGAGTGCTGTGCCCCTCCCCAGCGCGACCTGTCTGGGTTAGCAGCCGTGTGCTGTTTTACTTGAGCTAGCGAAACCGACTCTTTCTTTGTGCCGTGATGTGCGATGCCGAGTTTTACATAAGAACTGAAGTAGACATCGTGTGCGAAGTGCTGGAGAAGGTTCAGTGCATTTGTTTCATCTGCAGACTGCTTCCCGATAGCCTGGTGAACTGAAAGGTTTTTCTTGGTGCCTAATCGATATGATTTTGTCCTGTGACATTGTGTTTCCCGCCTCATCCCGAAGCCACACTCTCTCAGATGTTCTCATAGGGCTTCTTCCAGTGAGGCTGAGAGAGCCATGGATTCCCCACCCCAAGTCCCCCATAAAACAGAGTTGGGACGAGGAAAAGCCACCGAAGAAACCGTTACAATTAAGCAATTTAAACAGATGCATATTTTTCAAGTCCTCCATTTCTCCTGTACTTGTAAATTGAATATTTATGAGAAGTTTAAAGATGTCTGCAAATTGTACATTTATAAATGTCTGCTTTTTCTATTTTACCCAATATGCAGTAACTCATGTGGTTGTGTTGGTGGAGGCCCCTCTGGGTGCTGGTATTGCTTGAACCACGGAAGTATTATTCTTGGCAGTCAGGTGGATTTTTGGACTCTGGAAGATTGTGTTTCAAGTGTTAGGATTCACTCTGTGGCATTTACGCACTCTGTGATGCTTAAATTGCTATAGCAGAAGGTTGTGTTTATTCACTGTGCTCATAATCTCAAATCATCATGTTATGAGGACCCAGATATAATTTTGCAGAGTTCATAGAAGATTGAAAAAATAAGCTGAGCCATCAGATTCAGCACAATTGTTTGGTGGTAGCTTGAGAACAATTTTTGCTCCTTCTGCATTGGATATGGAAGCAACCCTGGGAAAGGGCTTGATACCACTCCCATGCCAGTGAAGCACCCATAAGTCTTCACAAAGATTGGGGTTATTTTCTGGCTCTTGCCAGAATGCTCACATGAGCACACCATTCCATGGCTTCTGGCTAGGTCTGCTAACACGTTTGTAGTGGTACAGTCACATGCCATGTGTTTTACCAAACTGTTTCATGAAAACCATTTACACTCCAGATGAAAAGTGATACTGCACTGATGTGATTTTAACAACAGTAGGAAGATCGTCTACAGAATACTGCCGCTAGCAGTGTTTTGTCTGCAGCTGGGCTTCAGCATTAGATTGGTTAGTAGCTTGCTGTCATGGTGTCCTGTAGGCCACTACCAGTTTGGGTTCACTACAACACAGTGATTAGATTCCAGATTTCTTTGTTCCTGACTGAGCATGCGGTGGGGTACATGGCTGAAGGGGAGTTCTTTGCTCTTCTTCTCTTCTTGGTGGGCTAAACTAAAAACCCAACATAGGCTTTTAAAATATGAGTCTGGAATATTCTATGAGGTTAGGATACTTTTTCATCCAGTAGCCATCAGAACATGATTCATCAGATCACATCCCCACCATCAGTGAGGAACTTAGGACCCAGTCTTCCAAGCACAGTGGGTCTATCTCCAAGAGCCATGCTAAGTATTCTGAAAAAATTCACAGGTATATGTTTATTTCCAAATGCTTCAAATTGTTCCCACTAGATGTGAAAAGCTTTGTCTATAGCCAGCTATGCCTCAATAAATAAAAAAAAGCAAGATTCTAAGTACTTGTGCTGATCTCATCATGGTAAGAATATTTATATGCAGGTAACATTTATTAGGCATCTGCTCTATTGTAGACATCTCCACTTAGTCTTTATTATGCTTTCGTGTAATTCTTACCCACCGAAGTGGAGAGTTTTAACTTGCAACTTAGAGATAAGGAAACTGAGATTTAGAGTGATGAAGTGACTTACCTCCAAGTCATACAGCATGGCAGGATCAGAACTAGGATTGGGCCAGGTCTTGTGCTCAGACCTTGTGTTCTTTGCTGTTATGCCTGGGAACCTTTCTAAGGAAGACACAGTAGAGAAGTCAATACTGGATATTCAGCAAGAGATTTGCTCCCCTAATTTGAGGTACCATCACTAAGATGCTGTCCCTTCACCCCTGGCAGGCATATATATATATATATATATATACCTCTTAAAGAAACACAGTGATTTTTAGCTACTTCTGAATTCATAGAGCACTTAAAGTCTAGCCACATAGGCAGAGAGTTGCTTTATTGATTGGACTCTTCCCCCCCCTTCTTATGCAAATAACTCTAATCTCTTCATTTCTGTATCTAGCCTCTTCATTATATTTCTAGCTCCTTATATTCAAGAACAGTAATCTCCTCTTTTCTGGTACCAAGGTAATACAGTTGCTCAATAAATATTTCATATAAAAGTAAATAATTACAACTGGTGGTTTTAGACTTATATTTCAGTTGATTCACAGGTACTGAGCAGTAGTGAATTATTAAAGAAAACCAGAATATTTGTGTCTCACTTCTAATTTTGTTTGCAGGCAACATCAGGGAGCCACTTTCCACAAAATCTCCCTGAAAGACCTGATTAAGACACCAGGCTCCATAGGCCTCCTGCTCTGGTGTTGTGAACCAATCCTTTTATTCCAGTAACCTAATCCAACTGGCTAAATATGCTTTCCCAGGTTTTCACCTTCAAAGCTATCCTGCATTACATTATTTTTTTTTATCTTGTATTTGCAGAAATGATAGTAATTAAAGTGCTCATCTCACAGGAACATGTTTGTTTACAATTCTGAAGAGATTTCTGCTCTTTAAAATCCAGGGATTAGTATCAGATAATGCTGTGTAAATAAGACTGCAGTCTAAACCTTCTGGAAGGCTGCCGCTGATGGGATTTTTTTCATTGCTTATCTGATGTTATTTTACTGTTCACACAAAATAAAAGATCATTAATAGGAATATGTCACATAAGCTACATTAATTATGTCATTTGAGAATCATATGATGTATTTATCTTGTAATATTTGTCATGTTAAGAAAGTGTGAATCTGGCTTCTTAAATGTCTTCTCTAATGGAGTTTCATTTGAAAAGCTTGTTTGGAAGCTTACTTGTAAGGATTATGTCCTGCAAATTTGTGTTTGGAAATAGCTTATTACTTTTATGAAAGAGTGTATTTCAAATCTCTCTACTTGCTCTCTGATGAAGTATTATTTTTCTGGATAATAAGGCTAAGTCTCAACTTTTAATATAGCTATCCTAAACTGGTTCCTTTCCTGAATGCTCTGCAGCTGATGTTGCTATATTATTCATTGTAGGCTACAGTTTATTTAATGGCATAGACTCAGACATGAAAATAAGCATTGTGGATATAGTTAATATAGACATCTTAGAAATTTCATGCTATCAGTATGTCTGTAGATCCATCCTGTATACAGTTCGGAGGTCAGTGTAACCTGGAGACCTGATTTTTTGGTTCTGACAGCTCCTTTGACTCTTGTCCTTGGGCAAGTCATTTAATCTTTCACATCTGACTCCCCACTGTGGTAGTTTAGCGCCTCATTATCACTTGCTGGATCTATTGCAAATGGCATCCTAATGGTTTTCCTTTCTTTGCTCTCTTTTTTTCCTCAGCTTTTACCTTCTTATTCGTTCCAAGTAATTGTTTAAACAGCACAGATCTGCTCATGTTCCTGACCTTGCTAGAGCCCTTCCCTGTCTCTCCATGGTCTAGTAGAGGTCTGCAGAGTGGGCCAAGCTCATCCTGGGCTCTGCAGGGTCAAAGATGCTCTAGGGGAAAAAGGTGAAGTTTGTCCCTTGCTCAGCAGCTATGGGGTTTCTTAGTGATGCCCACCCATTGTTCACACTGGCATTCACTCACCTCCAGTGCATTTGCATATTGTAGCTTCCATCATGAAAGGTCTGGCTTCAGCAATTCATTTTATTAAAGAGAAGAAAATTGCAAAAGGCAGCTGTAGTTTAGATTGTATAGTGGTGAGGAAAATGGACTCTGAAGCTAGTCGAGAAATTTCAGAAAAACAGACATATCCAGCTTTTAGTATGACTTTGAAGATATAAAAATGCTTACAAGAGTGCCTGGCTTGAGAAAAACACACTTACTATGCTTTTCCTCATAGCATGATGGTGCCCTACAATATAGCTGGA